TAAGTATTTATTTATTGTATACCCCTATCCTCCACTCTTGCTTTCAAAAATTTTTTAATTTTTTATATGACGAAAATTGAAGAGCATTTTACGCTGAAAACAATGGTGTGTATTTAAATTACATTCCGAAAAAAACATTTTTGAGATATGAACGAAAACGTCTCGTTATACGCGCTCCATACGTATTCGTATCGCGTTGGGGTTCAACGAATACAGTCCAATACGCATCAATATTGCACTAGCTATTATAATAAGAGCTTTTTACAATAATAATGTCATAATAATAATATATAATGATAATAATAATAATAACATTAATAGTAATAGTGACTTTGTTAAATTTCCGAAACCAGACAATGGCGGATTCCTGCAGTGAATTCGAACTATCTTATCCCGCTGTTTGCCGAACCCAGGAATAACCGACGAGGAGCTGACGAGAGTCTATTCCCATTTTGTTTTTTATTATTTTTTTTATATTTTTCATGTTTTTATGTTTTTATATTATTTTAGATTTTTTCTTAATTTTTTTAACAATTACGTTATTCCCACCTCTATGTTCATTTTTTCATTTCTATGCTACATACTCTTTACAGAAATGATATTCAATGAAAAAATCTTGTATGCATAAAGATTTTGCACACCAAGCGCACTTTATGACTATTATATTATTACATAATAACTCGCAGATAGCTTCACAATTTTTAAAACAATAATCTACTGGATTATCAAAATGAAGTGGTTTCTCTTGTAAGTATCCACTTTTGTACCATGAATACTTAAATAAATTTATAAATCGCGGAGAGGATAACTGATAATAAATAAGCGATTGCAATTTGATAACGTTGTTTCGTAAATGTAAATTTATATCGTAATTATACAAAACAATTAAATCTGAAAAATGTTTAATAAAATTTTTCCAAATTCTGAAACCAAACACGTCGAGAGGTTGAATCATCCCAGTTGTTCCTGCAGGAATTGTTAAAATTTTAATATTTTTTGATAATTTATCTATTGTTTCAAATGTTTTCGAATTTTGGCCACTCCATGAATCTAAAAGCAGAACACTGTTATCGTTGCAATTAGGAAGAAAAACATTTGTGAACCATGTTTTCACAAGATTCGTCGACATCTTACCTGAATTTGAGGGTAATACAATAACATTATCAGGTTTAAAAAGATTTGCTTCTACGCGCGGTCCAAATTTTCCATCTTTTTCTTGTAAAATAATTAATAGCGGTGACAAAAGGGAACCACATGCTGATACGATGGGCTGAATTGTGTAACTATGAGTCATAGAATTCGTTGATTGAGTTAATGTTTCAATCTGCTGCTGTCCTTTGAAGGACAAAGTATGTCCTGTGTGCATTTCTAAATTAAAACCCGATTGATCAGAATTTAACACATTCTCTGCTCCAATTAGCGAAATTTCTTGTTTTACCTTTTCAACAAAATTATTAGCCTCTATTTCTAGTTTATTTATATCTGTCAAAGTTTTCTGCGTTATAAATTTATTTATTTTTCTGGAAACAATGTGATGTTTCTGTTTGAAATTGTGAATCCACTTTTTTGATGCTTTAAAAAAAATCTGCTGATAATTGCAATTCATTTCTAGCATTTAAAACCCATCTACGAATGTCCAAATCATGAATTGGTAAAGATTTTTGTAGGGCGTCTTCAAATCGAGCAAACACATATTCCGAAATTTTTTTCAATTTCTCGCGCGTATTCCCGCCTTTTGAAATTTTATTTTCCCATATATATAGCTGTTGCTTTGATGTAACACATTTAAATCTGGCTTGAACAGTCATAAACTTCAACTTATGTTTTTTCCCCGATTTCCAAAATTCTATAACTTTGCGTTTATATTCTTCATCGCATATTTCTGTACATTCGATAGACGGATTTAAAGTAGAATTCGTATTATCTTGAATGTAATCGTCTTCGTCATTTTCCTTAATTGGAACTATTTCTGGAATAACACTTGCCTCTTCAAAATTCAAAGTAGTATAGGTTTCTATATACACAGAATCTTGAATAGCATCTTTTATCAAATTCTCTAAATGGAAATTCTCTAACTGAATTTTTTCCATCTTCGCTGATAACAGATTGGACATCATACTGAATTTTTTCTCATCTTCGCTGATAACAGATTGGACATCATATTGCGGCTGATCGAAAGCATAATTTAACAGCTTTAAAATGTTCTTTGGATTTAGTGCCATCTTATTATTAACCGGAGAATAACAAATTCAAAGAATCGAATGCAAAATCTCGCACCGTCGTAAGACGCTGTACGACGTTTAATTTCTCTTGAGTCAAATTTATTTGCTCTGCTTATAGTTATAAGTACAAGCAGGCGCGCTATACAAGCGTGCTTTCCAAATTCTGAAATCAAAGACGTCGAGAGGTTGAATCAGGCGGTAGTCTAGTCAGTAATGCAAATTATGCCTTCCTAGGCCGGAACACTACGATGAGTCCATATCCATGTACACTTGCGCATGCGTTGTTCTGCTAATTCTGGCACGCTTGTCACGGGTGCGTCAGGCGTGCAGCATGTCGTATCAGCATGTGGTTCCCTTTTGTCACCGCTATTAATTATTTTACAAGAAAAAGATGGAAAATTTGGACCGCGCGTAGAAGCAAATCTTTTTAAACCTGATAATGTTATTGTATTACCCTCAAATTCAGGTAAGATGTCGACGAATCTTGTGAAAACATGGTTCACAAATGTTTTTCTTCCTAATTGCAACGATAACAGTGTTCTGCTTTTAGATTCATGGAGTGGCCAAAATTCGAAAACATTTGAAACAATAGATAAATTATCAAAAAATATTAAAATTTTAACAATTCCTGCAGGAACAACTGGGATGATTCAACCTCTCGACGTGTTTGGTTTCAGAATTTGGAAAAATTTTATTAAACATTTTTCAGATTTAATTGTTTTGTATAATTACGATATAAATTTACATTTACGAAACAACGTTATCAAATTGCAATCGCTTATTTATTATCAGTTATCCTCTCCGCGATTTATAAATTTATTTAAGTATTCATGGTACAAAAGTGGATACTTACAAGAGAAACCACTTCATTTTGATAATCCAGTAGATTATTGTTTTAAAAATTGTGAAGCTATCTGCGAGTTATTATGTAATAATATAATAGTCATAAAGTGCGCTTGGTGTGCAAAATCTTTATGCATACAAGATTTTTTCATTGAATATCATTTCTGTAAAGAGTATGTAGCATAGAAATGAAAAAATGAACATAGAGGTGGGAATAACGTAATTGTTAAAAAAATTAAGAAAAAATCTAAAATAATATAAAAACATAAAAACATGAAAAATATAAAAAAAATAATAAAAAACAAAATGGGAATAGACTCTCGTCACCTCCTCGTCGGTTATTCCTGGGTTCGGCAAACAGCGGGATAAGATAGTTCGAATTCACTGCAGGAATCCGCCATTGTCTGGTTTCGGAAATTTAACAAAGTCACTATTACTATTAATGTTATTATTATTATTATCATTATATATTATTATTATGACATTATTATTGTAAAAAGCTCTTATTATAATAGCTAGTGCAATATTGATGCGTATTGGACTGTATTCGTTGAACCCCAACGCAATACGAATACGTATGGAGCGCGTATAACGAGACGTTTTCGTTCATATCTCAAAAATGTTTTTTTCGGAATGTAATTTAAATACACACCATTGTTTTCAGCGTAAAATGCTCTTCAATTTTCGTCATATAAAAAATTAAAAAATTTTTGAAAGCAAGAGTGGAGGATAGGGGTATACAATAAATAAATACTTAAGAAAAATTTGTTTATTATAGTTATAAAGTACTCTCGCAACCATTCAATTTTTATTGTAGAAATTTTTTTCTACCTCTTACAGTTTCGAAGATATTAAGTTCGAAAGAGAAAAACCGATTTTCTTCAAAGTGGTGTTTCACCCCTTAAATCTGCACCATTGCCGATATAAAAAAATACGTGTCTATTATTTTTGTCTACTCTACAAATGTACCAAGTTTCATTAAATTCGGCGAGTCATGGAAAGGTAACTTTACTTGTAAGTGGCGGTGACCATAGATGTAAGTACACTACTGTTTAAAGTCATTCGGACGATATTTTATTCTGTACTCTGATTTTAAAAGTTAAGTAAATGTTCCATACTATCGTTAAGACAAATAATACCTTATTAGAATAATTGACGCCGCTTCTGTGGTATATTTGTTGTAATTGTGTACATATTCTAAAATATATGTTAGTGAAACATTGTTTATTTAACTATGTCCAACTATTCTCGAATTGTGAACTATTATATTGCGACGTTACCTCAGTAATTAAAATCTAGAATACGTACATAACAACCAATATGTATAACAAAACAGTGTCAATTATGCTAATAAAGTATTATCTGTGTTACATCTGTCTTAACAATAATATAGGCCATTGGTTATTTAGATTTTAAAATCGGAGTAAAATATAAAATATCTATCGTTCAAATAATTATAAGCGATTAGTGTGCATAGTCCATTGTCAGAATATCAATTTATTTAAACACCGCAACAACGTTTCTTTAATTTGAAATTATAAAGACAAAAAAATATTAAATATTGTCGAAATGATATCAAACATTATAATAATGAATGTCGAAAGAGAAAAATGAATTCTATATCCTTTTCTATATATTATTTAACATGAATTCTATATATTTTTCATGAATTCTATATCATTTTGGTTAAAACCGTTTTCTACCAAGTAGAAAACGGTTTCGTTTGGTTTTCTTCCAAAGTAAAAAAACCTGCTTTTTTTCATTTCTAGTATATCG